CAAAAACGCGCCAAAGCAGACGGTGACGTCAAATAATATATGACTCGAGGTTAGGTTAGGGTCAGACTAGATCCGGGGGACGGGCTCCCCCGTCCGGGGGCCCCCCGGGGGGCCCGGCCGAATCCCGATCCCTATGGGGGAGGGAGGGAGCCGGGACCCCCGGGGGATCCCAGTAGTAGATGATGCGGGACGGAGGGGAGATGGACACTCTTAGGAGAGTCGTACTTCCCTCCCTCCCGTATAGGGAGACTTCCTTCTCGCGAAGGAGGTCTCTCAGGAGAGGTCTCAGGTGTTGGAGCCGAATCCTAACCCCCCCCCCCCATTGGGGGCGGAGGGAGCATCAACACCTGAGACGGGAGAGCTGCAGATTTCGAGGGCGGGGCCCTCGAACTCATTGCACGCGGCTCTCCAAGGAGGGGAGAGGAGTGGTGGTGGTCTCCACTCTTCTCCGCCTGATGGGACTTGTCCCGTCAAACGGAGGGGACGCACCCGAAAGGGGTGCGTCACGGCGTTTCGGAGGCACCGGTTGCATGCGAAAGCGATTCCCGGGGCCTCCGAGTTGCGCCAGGAGGACCACCGTCAGGTTTAGCGGGTCGGGAATGGGCCTTCTGCCCATTCCCATCCCCGCATAACCCGAAGCCTCCCCCGAGGTGGAGGGTATGTGTTGAACACATTCCTGACGTAAAAAAAAAAGGGTAAGAAGAGAAGATTCCCTCTCGTTGTCCGCCACCTTGTCGTTGAGAGGGCTCACCCTTCGCAAGAGGATACTCTTGCGAGGGGTGCTAAGAGCGGACCGTACCTCCTGTAGGGAGGTACATTTCAATGTAAGGATAAAAAATCAGGGATTTTTACGGGTTTTTCAGGCATTTAACTTGTGTATTATTTGTCTAGCACTCTAAATACCAAAGCTTATGTGAGTCCTTTAAAGTTATTAAATTATAAATAAAAATGTTAAAATTGTTCAAACATTTAAATTGTTATATATTTCCAGTTAAAAGAGGACATGGAAACTCCCATTCTTGAATTGTGCAAATCGAGCCTTCTCTTCGTAAGCAGACATAACCTATTGCAGTGTATCGCCATAACTTTTTCGACTAGATCTATATGAAAACAATTTTATAATCAATCAGTCTTGTAAAATAATTTTTAATAATATACGTGTACTATTTATTAATAGATATATTTTATCTGTACTTACAAAAATGCTTTAACAACCGATCTCTGCTGCATTATATCTAGTATCGTTTTTAACAAATTCTGCCACCATAAATATATCTATTTTTGGTATATTGGTTGAATCAGCTTTTACAAAGCCTGGTTCAACCATTTTTACACCAATTATTAGCGTATTTTCTTAAATATAGATTATTATACTAACGTGTTCTCATAGCGCACTGAAGATGACATACATTATTTGACGTCTCTCAATCGACTAATCATCGGCCGTTTTTACGTCACGTAGAAAATTTGTAAAATTGAAACATTTTATTAGGTAATTTTAATCATTTAACAATGTAAAAAATTCAAACTTTTAGTGTTTATATTGTTTAAATAACATATACATTGATTTAAAAAAAATTATATATAGTTTGTTATTTTGTATACTTCCCTATTTGTATCGTGTAATTTTAATGGTAAAGGTAATGACAGTTGTATCGTGTTAATTTAACGATGATAATATCGTGGTGTGAATATCTCTCTAAGGAGTAGATAATATGGTATTATTAAATGATAATATTGTTCAATATTATATATGTATATATATATATATTGTAACCGTTATTTTTGTTAGTCTGTCGAATCGAAAAAGATCCGGGAAATCGGGCCGATGTAAATGGCCGACGGCACACCCGGCGCGGAAAGCGGGAAATTCGCATAAACACGAAAAATATGTTTAATTGGGCGCCAGGCGCGAGATTCGCGCCACTCTGAAAATCTACAAATCGACAGATGACCTTTATAATCCGTAAATCATCCTGAAATTTTCCGCGACGGCGATAATCGACTCGCTCAGATCGTCAGTAGGGGTAGAGGGGGGAGTTTGGACGGGAGAGAGGACGGAATTCGAGAGAGGCTATTTGAAATCGCTCAAATGTAACAAGCATTTAATATATTTGAACAATGATGAACGAAGATAGACAGAAAAATAATTGTATAAAAACTTGAGTAAAATTGTTAGGTCAAGAAAGAAAAATCAAGATTCTTTCAATATACTACGGAGTAAACTCCGTTTTAGTGACGCCGAAATACAAATAAGCGAGGCCGAAATTTGATTCGAACAATATAATGTAGCGTATTTACGGCCGAGACGCGGCGCGTTGTTATTGTTCCGCGCCTTTGAGACGACCCGACGCGGTGATATCGGACGGCACGCGGGACCCGGAAGTAACTTCGCGCGCCTACGTGTCGAATAATTATTAACGCACGAGACTTAATAAGGTCCGTGCGGCGAAATTAATTCTGATGGTTGTAGGCGATACAAAATCTCCGTAAACTGCAGTAGGTCCCGCGCGACTTCCTTTGCGACCGATCACTCCGGTCGTCCCTCGCAATATTTTACAAAGAATCAGAAAACTACGCGGATAATGATATGCGCGGGAAAGAATACGCTATTTCGGATGCGTGACTCTAGACAATTTTCTATTCTCAGATATAGAAACTCTAACAGACGAGAACGACACAATAATCACGAAACGATACTTTTGTTCTACATTAATGTGACGAAATCGCGGCGACTGTCGGCGTATCCGCGGGAGAGAGAGCCTCTCTTAATATACGCGCGGGAGAGAGCACGCGGTCGGCCGGGCGCCGGGATAAATTCTACGCGGAACGAAACTCTAAATCAAACCTCTCGAAATATCGCGAAATTACACCGGTGAATCTAATAACCGGCCGCGGCCGTGACAAGCTTCTCTCCCGAATATGGTACTCACAAAAGAATTTAGCGGTTTTACAAGAGTATATAGGGCCGTTCGTCTCACCGGTATCAAGGGGTCCTCTGATGCTTCGGCATCCGCGCGCAGGAACCTCTACTCTCCAGAACGCTCCGCCGGACAGTGACGAGCAAGAGGCCTGCCGGGATCACGCCGATAATAAATGGGGCATTTTCCACCCGTGGCGCTCCTTATCCTGGCAGGGCCGCCGGGTACCCCGCAGGGCCCTGCGAATTTGCTTGATGCAATTTCTCTCGCCGTTCCTCTGTGCTTCCGCTTCGGGTTCCGTTCTTCCTCTTTATGTTCGTCGAGGAGACTCCTTTGAGCGCGCCTTTGTGCGGTTCCTCCAAAATCCGCACGATCGATTGTTTGGTCGATGGTGAACTTTGTGTATCCGATCTGCGGAGGCTCGAGGCAGGATATCTCCCGCGCCTTTTGTTTCCGGGGCTCTCTCGCCTCTTGCGAGAGAGTGGCCATCCCCGTCTCTGGCCGGAATCTCTGCAAAAGAAGGAACATTTTACGGCGGTATCCAGGTTCTTAACGGGAGGAGCAATCCAGAAAATCTATGTGAAAATAATATTTACCGGGCGTGATCCGGACTTGGTGGTTTCTGCTCGGTCCTAAATCGTCCTCTTCGTCCTTTCTCTCTTTCTGTTTCTCCGGTTGAGACACGTACCCTATGCAAAATTGCTCGCCAAAAACGCAAAAATCGCTTAAACAAAAATCATAAATAAAGTAATTCGCGAAACGGGTGCGCGAAGCGCATCCTCCGACGCGGTAGAAAACGCAAAAATGATTTTTCGGGTGCTCTCTCTCTCTCAAAGATTGGCGAGAGAGCAAAGGTTCCCGAATTTCTCGCCTTCGGCCTTGTGACGGACAGTAAAAAATGTCACGTCACAATATATATATATATATATATATATATATATATGTATGTATGTGTATGTATGTATATGTATGCATATATAGAAAATGTTAATAAAAAAACTAACCTGTACATTCAGCCCTTCTTGAAGGAAACTCTAGGTCTCGCAAGAGGCAAACGTTTGGCGTTATATGTTTGTCCCATGGTGTGGACAACACACAAACTCAATAACACACTAAAAAAAACTAACTATATATAATAAATATATAGTATGTAAATTTGACAACGATACGTTGTATACGCTGCTTTGTTTTACGCGTATGAACGTGTATAACACCGCGCGACGTGAGTGAGGCGTCGCGCAGTAGATCATATCAACGTATAAAGGTATCTTTTCATGCTGTCGCTCGACGCTCGTTTTCTGCAATGTGATGACGTCATGTAAGTCGCTAGCGACGTGAAATGTAGTTCGATTTTTCCAACTACAAGCGATATTAGCGAGCGATAAAGATTTGAATGGATATCGAAATGGTAAGTATAATAATATTGTTTGATGAATATAATAAACATGTACATATATATTATTATAAAAATATTATTATTAATATTAAGGGGATGCTGGAGCTGTGCAGAGATTTGTTGTACATAACCTTGAATATGAGCAAATTTGCTTCATGTAAAAATTCTACAGTTTGTTATGCGCAAAATAAGAGCCAGCGTATGCGAAGGTTGTACAAAATTTTAAGTACATTTTTCTTTTTTCTAGGCTTTTAACCTTAGTTCCAATTGCACGATATTGTTCAGATATGTTGTCTCGCGCTTATATATATATATTTACTAAGTTAATTACAAAAATATTAAATCTGACGTTTTTAATAATGTTTTTTTAGACGATGAGACGGAGAAACTATTGTTAGAAGAAGCTTGACACAGGACGCTGAAACAATAGCATCTGTACCTTTTCATGGTGGATAATCAAGGTCAGATAATGTAATACAAATAAAATTCTTGAAGTTTTAAAACATTATAAATGAAGAAGTTATACATATTATGTTTGATGATTACATTTTATTTTTGTTTCAGAGAATATTCGATCCATTAATAATAATAGAAATTTCAATCAAAAGAGCGCAAAGGAAAACTGTCACTTGAGGAGGAGGAGATGCTAATATTAGAAGTCCAATGCAGAGAACCACTATGGATTTTAGATTACCTCTCATTCAAAGAAATTGCAGAATTACAAGAGCTTTGTGGGAAGAAGTTCTCAAACTTTTAATGGTTATAAAAGTCTATTATTTATAATATTAAAAAAATATGCTGAGTGTTTCGCGAGTTTTATCTCCGTGTGTAAGTTCATCCTTGGATACTATCCAAGCATCCATAGCATCCAAGGATGAACTTACACATGGAGATAACCCGCAAAACACTCAGCAAACTTGAAGATAGTACCCGTGGAAGCCTCAAGAATTTAAAAAAATATATTAAAACAGAATGTTTTTACAGGGAAATTAAGCGCAGCTGGATGTAAAAGCAAGTTCAAGAATTTTCACGACACTTATAGGAGACTTGTGAACGCTGAGAAACTACCAAGTGGATCTGCTTCCAAAAGCAACATGAGCAAATGGAAACATTATAAAAGTATGGAATTCCTTCGAGATAGTTGCTTACAGAAAAGGTTAATAATGCATTTGTATGATTTCATTATTTTAATACTAGAAAATTATTTTTGTATTAATTTTTTTATATAAAATAATAAATTTTATTTTTTTACAGTACGATTTCTAATATTAACGATGGAGACAGCAACAGTATTATCGAGAATGATAATGAATTAGATTGCCAAGATGCGAATATGTTAGAAGTTACTAATAATGAAGATAGTCAAGATACGATTATATCAGACAGAGATCAAGATCATGTAAGAAAGAGAAGGCGAGCAGAGTCACAAAACAGCTACTTAGAACGTATAGCAGACGCTTTATGCCAACCACTCCTGACATTGTTCTTCCACCACTCCCTCAAGAAGACCATATAGATGCGTTCTTAAAACTGTTTGGTCATAACTTAAGAAAGTTATCGCCAGAAAAAACAAAATGAATGGATGCAACGATATTTAAATATGTCTTACGAAATGTTAAAAGAAAACTAAAGATATTAATGAAATATTAACTTAAATATTAAATTAGCTTAACAAAAATTTTGTACTTTAAATTAAACTTAGTTTTTATTTAAATTATGGAGATAATAAAGCGTGAAATTATATTTTGTTTTATGTGTTAAATACAAAATTTATTAAAATGTTGAAATTACATACAAAATACAGTATAAACGTTATAAAATGAAATATTTATTCCTTTGTTTATCAACAGTGTTGAAATTGCCAAGGTATTGCTCCCTCGCTATTAAAGTTTCACAAAAGTCATCCCGAATTCTTGCAGCTTTCCGAGAACTGTTATTTGTACTACACCTTCTTATATCTTGAAAAGCAGAATTAATCTATATTTCTCCTCCAGGAACCTTCTATTAAACCATCGCAACCATCTCGATCAACCATGTTTTCAGTGATATATTCATTGACTCCAATATCTTGTATACGAATATAATTATGAAGACACACAATAGCTTGTACTATTTTCATTGCTGTTTCAATTGAACAATTTATTGGTCTTCTTAAAATTCTCCATTGACTTGATAAAATGCCAAAAGCATTTTCAATGGTCCTCCTTGCTCGACTAAGACGATAATTGTAAATAATTTTGTCCTGATTCAAACCTTGTTTTCCTGGAAAGGCCTCATTAAATACTCAGTAAGTGGAAAAGCTTCGTCTCCAACTAGCACGTAAGGCATAGAGTTTCCTTCGAAATAAAATGGTTTTGGATCAGGTACATTCATTTCATTGGTTCTGAATTTTTGGCCAAGAAAGGAGTCTCTAAATATTCCACCATCACTGCGACGTCCATAGGCTCCAATATCCACAAAAGTAAAAATATAGTTTGCATCACAAACAGCAAGCAAAACAAAACTGTGACTGTTTTTATAATTAAAATATGATGATCCTGCATTTTCAGGACACTGAAAAAAATAATATAGTGATTATTTTAAAAATAAAAGTCCTTAAAAATAAAAATCTATTTTAAATTTTTCAGTAACTTACTTGAATAACAACATGTTTACCATCAATAGCTCCTATACAATGATTAAAATTCCATACCTCTTCGAACTCTTTAGAAATATTTAACCATTTCTCTTTTGTTAAAGGATATGGAAGAACATGTTTAGAAAGAACAGACCACAATGCATCACAAGTTTCTGAAATAATATTGCTAACTGTGGTTAGTCCGAGGAGATATTGGTAGCTCATGGAAGTCATTGAATCACCAGAAGCAAGAAAAGAAACCTATAAGAAATATTTATAATAATATTTAAATATAAATAACATTTTCAACTTTATTTTTTATTTATTGTGTTTTCAACTTACCTTAATGTCATGCATAATCTTTCACTGGCAGATATTGGGTCTCGAGTTAATACTTTGTTTGTGATTAAAGGTGCTACTTTGTATAATAACTCTTCAAGTTGAATTGAATTCATACGAAAGTAATTTCTAAATGTACTTATTTGCTGTGAAACTGTGGGTAAAATTGCATTATAAAATCCATGTTCGCGTCTCATTTGAAACAATGGATTAATCCAAAACTCTTTTCTAGTATAAGGTCGTTCCTTTTTTCTATTAAATCAAAAATAACTGCCGATATCGCTAATCTTTTTCTCCTTTCTCTCATATTATGATTATTTATAATTTTTGCACACTCCGTTATCCAATTATATTTTTCTGATTGTGACATTGTGCGATTATATATATTTTGGAGCACCTGTATAGAATTCTTCAGCTGACGCTACTACATTAAAATCGCGTCGCTGGAAAACCCTTTTCATGTTTGATATTAGTCGCTAGCGACAAATCCAGTCACGTGATTTTTTTTATCGCTCAAAACGAGCGATGAGCGACGCATGAAAAGGTACCTTAACGATAAAGGTGCCTACTGATGAGACGCCGGCAAGTAGATTGCCGCGCAAGGCCGCGCGCGGCAGTTCAGAAAGAACTAGATCTAGGGGCTTCTGAATCACTCCTGCGTTGCCGCAAGTGAAGTTGGAATAATCCAACTTCACTTGCGGCAACGCGGGAGTGGTTATTTGTGCACATTTCAAAATAAATTGAAACGATGGCAGGAGTAAATGTGGAGATTCCAAAGGTTAGTGTATGTTATTATATCCAAATATAATATAAGTTTAATATAAAAAAATATTAAGAAAGCATCGCGAAGGTAATATATATGATTGTGCATAATTCAAGATTGGAGGTTAAGTGTATGTTTTGGTCGTTCGGAAGAGAAAAACGTACCGTAACATGTGCGTACGAATCTATTTCAATTCTTATAAACATTTATGACTTGGAACCGAACTTTAGAATGACACATCGGGTGATATAATTGATTTTTTTTTATGGCAGAAAGTATACACATGCGGATTATGCGAAATAATTCTTGGGGACCTTGAGGATGAAGAAACATGGTCCCATGAATGTTTTGCAAATTATTCAGAGATTGTTTTTGATGTGAATAGCTTGTATTATATCCCAAATGTGGTAAGTAAAATATAAAAGGTGAAAGTGACCGATATAATACTATTTGAGCGAATGTAAAATTTAAATATCTTGTAGAAGATGGAAGCATTGTGCGCCGAAGTGCGATTAATGGAGCAGAGCAGATTGTAATAGAATCGCCTCTTCCGACACAAGAGCCGTGCCCAGTGGAAAACCTGGAAGAACTTATCATTACAGAAGTGTCGGCACGAGAACTGTTATGGAATCAAAAACTGAGTATAACAAAACGTGACAGGCAAACTGTACAACAACTTTGGAAGCAAGTGGCTAATGCGACGAATGGTACGTATATATATTTGTGTGTGTATGTGAGAGAGAGAGAGAGAGAGAGAGAGAAAGAGAGTAGTTAAAGAAAACTCAATAGAATTAAAGTGATATAACAGTACGATTTTATTATTACAGGCGAATGTTCTGTCGATGAGGTAAAAAAAAAATGGAAGAACTTAAGGGATCGTTACATGAAAATAATCTCTCTTGAAAAGTTGCCAAGTGGATCAGGAAGTAAACCATCTCGCAGAAAGTGGCAACATTACGAATTGTTGTCTTTCTTACGTGACACTTCTTTGGAAAAAGAGTTAGTATTTCACAAAAGCATTCACTGCAATACTAAAAACAGTTAATATTGATATTATTTCATTTTATTGTATTTCAGGACAGTTTCAAATATGATGAGTCGTGAGGAAGACACTAGCAATGATGACACGGAAATCCAAAGTGTGGACGTCGTAGAAGTCAACGGTGCGATTGATGCATCAAAAGTATTTCGTTCATAAGCTGTACGGGCAAGTAAATAAATTTAAAAACAGAAAGAGAATAATAAGAAGAATATGCAATAATAAAATAAAACTTTTGCAGAGTCTACAATGTAGTCGTTATGACAATACGACGCTGCAACGGACCAATCAGAGAAAAAAAAATCATATTCTCTTTTTGATTGATCCGTCACAGCGTCGTAACATTGTAACGACTGCATCGTAGAACCCGCATTATATTCAAAATTCCACATTAATTATCAACCGACACACTATATATATTGTAGGAAAATTGTACAAATTGAATATCTCACTTGTTAGTACTATTACAGCTAGCTACATCAATTTTGTCCAATAATACAAAATGTATTATTATGTAAAAGTCATTCTTTCATTTTCAGGAATGAAAAGAAAACGAAAAAGTACTGAGCGCGAAGAAGAAAGACTTGATGAAGCAGATAGCAGAGGCCTTGCAGACTCCACGACCACCTTTGCCAACTCCTCCTGTTCTTGACGAAGTTGACAATTTTACTTCGATGATTGCCTGCCAGCTACGAGAGTTGTCATCAGTCCGCAGACGCGCAATAATGTTGAAAATTCACGAGCTCTTACGTGCTGAATTATTGCGTAACGACAATTCGGCAACAACAATAATATAACGTAAAATATAATAATATGAATAATATATGTATACGTATAGTAATAAAACGAGACTGATTTTGTTAGTGCAATAAAGCCGAAGCGTATTTATTCAAATAGTTATTACTCAACTGGACCGGGATACCAAGAAACATTAAAGTTATGATTATCTGGGAAAGTAGGAAAAAGAAGTTTTAAAGAATTAGTTTTGCATGATTAAAAGTGTGTGATTTATTTCCTTTGCATGTGTAGTATACAAATAATGATTATATCTGTGATGTCTAGTATAAATTATAAATAAAACGAAATAATATGCTAATGTATCATTTATCATTTTGCCATGCTACTGAGCCTTCATTATAAAATATTTACAAAATTCATCTCTAATGAGCATGGCACCCCGAGTACTTGTATTTGTACTACATTTGGAGATGTCCACAAATGCACAACCATCTTCCATAATCGTCCTCCACGAACCTCGTATGTGATCACCCACAGCCGTTTCTTTATCAACATACCTGGTGGAATATAATTGTTCTCTCGATATCACTCTTGCGGAGCCAGTTATGAATGCAGATTGTACCTTGTACGATCTTCATAGCAGTTTCCACACTACTAATGATCGGTTTTCGATAAACTCGCCATTGGCTAGCAGTATTCCGAAACAATTCTCTATCACTCGTCGTCTGGCTCTACTGAGTCTATAATTGAAGATGTGCTGTTCGGCGGACAAGTTATTTTTGCCAGAGTATGGCCTTAGCAAATATGATTTCAATGGAAAGGCTTCATCCCCGACAATGCAGTAAGGCAAAGACGGGCCTCCTTTGTAAAAACTGTCCGATTTTGGGATATTCATTTGACCTGCATTAAGTTGTTGACGAATCGGCTTTCACGAAAAATGCCTCCATCACTTCGCCTGCCATACGCACCAATATCGACGAACCGGAAAATATAATTGGCATCACAAATAGCTAATAGCACAATGCTATGACTGTTTTTATAGTTGTAGAAATTGGAGCCAGCATTATCCGGACACTGAAATTACACAAAGATTATTATATATTTTCACATTACTGCAAGAAAATTGGAGTCTGCTCGTATTGTTTTTTCTATTTATTTCCCGATAGTTTTTAATATTTGAATAATGCCTGAAAAGAATTATAATACAAGTATTACTTACTTGAATGGTTACATGCTTTCCATCGATTGCTCCAATGCAATGTGGAAAGTCCCATATATCTTCAAAATCTTCTGCGATGCTCCGCCAGTCATCTTCGAATAACTGAGGTGGAAGAACCAAAGGACACAAATGTTCCCAAATAATCTTGCATGTTGTAGCAATAATATTGCTTACAGTCGTCAAGCCTACTAAATATTGATATGTCATTGAAGACATGGAATCACCAGCTGCCAGAAATCTGAAACGTAATGCAAATTGATGTAATGCAACATTTACATTCATATAACTAAAATAAAAACAAAAGATGTTTACCGTAATGTCAACGTCAATCGTTCTGCTGCACTTATCGGCTCTCGCACGACGTATTGTTTCTCTAGATGCGGGCCTACAATGGCTAACAACTCTTCGTATTGCGTGGTTGACATCCGAAAATAATATGGAACCGCAGATCTTCCAATTTAAGTGTTGGCAGCAAGGCATGGTAAAAACCATGCTCACAGCGTTTTTTAAAAATTGGAGCAACCCAGAAACGCTTCTTTTGTTGATCCGTCTGTTTTTGCAGCTAATAACATAGCTAATGATCCGAGCAACTTGTCACGTCGGTCTGCTTCTACATCTGTTCTGACTGCACTGCATTGACCACTCATCATAAATTTTCATTTTTGCAGACATGATATATTGATTATTTAAACTGATAACTGAGATACTGAGGAATGAGGGTATATGTTTCGCGACAAACGCGCGATGACGCCGAATTCGCGCGGCAGACGCGGCAAGCGGCATCAGTTTCAGAAGCCCCTAGATCTAGTTCTTTCTGAACTGCCGCGCGCGGCAACTTGCCGCGTCCATCAGTAGGCACCTTAAAGCTCCGCGACAACTATTTCTCTCTTTCCCTTTTCATCTCACTTTCTTTACTAAAACGAATCTTTTTTTTCAAAATGGCATCTTGATTAATTATTGTAAAGTACAGTTTTAAAAATTAATAATCGCATTGACATCATTTTCAACGATGTATCTCATTAAAATTTAACATGCATACAAAGCAAAATAAGAGTCTGATGCAAATCACACCATACACGGAGAGAATTTTCTCTTATTAGAATTTATCCTGAAAATCATGGTAATCGTGGGATAATATGGTGTAGGAAAAATATTATAAGAGTTTTTTTGATTAATATACTACATTAAAAATTATTAATATGAACATAGTAAAATGTTAATCGAGTACATTTTTTATTTTATTGTGGTAGATATTAATATTTTTATTGTGGTAAATATTAATCAGAAAAATTCTAAAGGTACCTTTTCATGCTGTCGCTCGACGCTCGTTTTCTGCGATGTGATGACGTCATGTAAGTCGCTAGCGACGTGAAATGTAGTTCGATTTTTCCAACTACAAGCGATATTAGCGAGCGATAAAGATTTGAATGGATATCGAAATGGTAAGTATAATAATATTGTTTGATGAATATAATAAACATGTACATATATATTATTATAAAAATATTATTATTAATATTAAGGGGATGCTGGAGCTGTGCAGAGACTTTTGTTGTACATAACCTTGAATATGAGCAAATTTGCTTCATGTAAAAATTCTACAGTTTGTTATGCGCAAAATAAGAGCCAGCGTATGCGAAGGTTGTACAAAATTTTAAGTACATTTTTCTTTTTTTCTAGGCTTTTAACCTTAGTTCCAATTGCACGATATTGTTCAGATATGTTGTCTCGTGCATACGCTGACTCTTATTTTGCACATAACACAAACTGTAGAATTTTTACATGAAGCAAATATTGCTCGTGTTCGAGATTATATACGACAAAAGTCCCTGCACAACTCCAGCATCCCCTTAATTAAGGACATTATTATGTCTTTAACATTATAAGTAAACATAAATTGAGAAAGGTCAATTTCGAGCAACACTTTAACATATCTTGTTTTACATATAAATATAAATCTGTTATTTTTAATCATATAAGTTATGTCAGTAATAATATTTTATGTAACGTACGCAAAAAAAAACATTAAGTAAATAAAATATTTGTTATATAAGATATTTTCTAAAATATTTTTTGTAGTCTCGTGTTCAAACGTGTGGATTATGTGAAACCATATGTAATGAGGACGAAGTACCCAGCCATGAGTGTCTTCAAGGATATTCTAATTTCATTACAGATGATAATTTGTACTTTTACCCTGTATTAGGTATTTTATATATATATATATATATATATATATATTTACTTAAGTTAATTACAAAAATTATTAAATCTGATGTTTTTTTAATAATGTTTTTTTAGACGATGGAGAAACTATTGTTAGAAGAAGCTTGACACAGGACGCTGAAACAATAGCATCTGTACCTTTTCATGGTGATAATCAAGGTCAAATAAATGTAATAAATTCTTGAAGTTTTAAAACATTATAAATGAGAAGTTATACATATTATGTTTGTATGATATACATTTTATTTTTTGTTTCAGAGAATATTTGATCCATTAATAATAATAGAAATTCCAATCAAAAGAGCGCAAAGGAAAAACTGTCACTTGAGGAGGAGGAGATGCTAATATTAGAAGTCCAATGCAGAGAACCACTATGGAATTTTAGATTACCTCTCATTCAAAGAAATTGCAGAATTACAAGAGCTTTGTGGGAAGAAGTTTCTCAAACTTTTAATGGTTATATAAATGTCTATTATTTATAATATTAAAAAAATATGCTGAGTGTTTCGCGGGTTTTATCTCCGTGTGTAAGTTCATCCTTGGATACTATCCAAGCATCCATAGCATCCAAGGATGAACTTACACATGGAGATAACCCGCGAAACACTCAGCAAACTTGAAGATAGTACCCGTGGAAGCCTCAAGAATTTAAAAAAATATATTAAAACAGAATGTTTTTACAGGGAAATTAAGCGCAGCTGGATGTAAAAGCAAGTTCAAGAATTTTCACGACACTTATAGGAGACTTGTGAACGCTGAGAAACTACCAAGTGGATCTGCTTCCAAAAGCAACATGAGCAAATGGAAACATTATAAAAGTATGGAATTCCTTCGAGATAGTTGCTTACAGAAAAGGTTAATAATGCATTTGTATGATTTCATTATTTTTAATACTAGAAAATTATTTTTGTATTAATTTTTTTATATAAAATAATAAATTTTATTTCTTTACAGTACGATTTCTAATATTAACGATGGAGACAGCAACAGTATTATCGAGAATGATAATGAATTAGATTGCCAAGATGCGAATATGTTAGAAGTTACTAATAATGAAGATAGTCAAGATACGAGTATATTAGGAAGTATTGAATAATTATCACAGTTTATTTTAAAATTTTGAAATTAGAAGAAAATGGTTTTTAAATTATTTTTTTTTCAAGATCATGTAAGAAAGAGAAGGCGAGCAGAGTCACAAAACAGTTACTTAGAACGTATAGCAGACGCTTTATGTCAACCACCTCCTGACATTGTTCTTCCACCACCCCCTCAAGAAGACCATATAGATGCGTTCTTAAAACTGTTTGGTCATAACTTAAGAAAGTTATCGCCAGAAAAACAAAATGAATGGATGCAACGATATTTAAATATGTCTTACGAAATGTTAAAAGAAAACCAAAGATATTAATGAAATATTAACTTAAATATTAAATTAGCTTAACAAAAATTTTGTACTTTAAATTAAACTTAGTTTTTATTTAAATTATGGAGATAATAAAGCGTGAAATTATATTTTGTTTTATGTGTTAAATACAAAATTTATTAAAATGTTAAAATTACATACAAAATACAGTATAAACGTTATAAAATGAAATATTTATTCCTTTGTTTATCAACAGTGTTGAAATTGCCAAGGTATTGCTCCCTCGCTATTAAAGTATTCACAAAAGTCATCCCGAATTCTTGCAGCTTTCCGAGAACTGTTATTTGTACTACACCTTCTTATATCTTGAAAAGCAGAATTAATGTCTATATTTCTCCTCCAGGAACCTTCTATTAAACCATCGCAACCATCTCGATCAACCATGTTTTCAGTGATATATTCATTGACTCCAATATCTTGTATACGAATATAATTATGAAGACACACAATAGCTTGTACTATTTTCATTGCTGTTTCAATTGAACAATTTATTGGTCTTCTTAAAATTCTCCATTGACTTGATAAAATGCCAAAAGCATTTTCAATGGTCCTCCTTGCTCGACTAAGACGATAATTGTAAATAATTTTGTCCTGATTCAAACCTTGTTTTCCTGGGAAAGGCCTCATTAAATACTCAGTAAGTGGAAAAGCTTCGTCTCCAACTAGCACGTAAGGCATAGAGTTTCCTTCGAAATAAAATGGTTTTGGATCAGGTACATTCATTTCATTGGTTCTGAATTTTTGGCCAAGAAAGGAGTCTCTAAATATTCCACCATCACTGCGACGTCCATAGGCTCCAATATCCACAAAAGTAAAAATATAGTTTGCATCACAAACAGCAAGCAAAACAAAACTGTGACTGTTTTTATAATTAAAATATGATGATCCTGCATTTTCAGGACACTGAAAAAAATAATATAGTGATTATTTTAAAAATAAAAGTCCTCTAAAAATAAAAATCTATTTTAAATTTTTTCAGTAACTTACTTGAATAACAACATGTTTACCATCAATAGCTCCTATACAATGGTTAAAATTCCATACCTCTTCGAACTCTTTAGAAATATTTAACCATTTCTCTTTGTTAAAGGATATGGAAGAACATGTTTAGAAAGAACAGACCACAATGCATCACAAGTTTCTGAAATAATATTGCTAACTGTGGTTAGTCCGAGGAGATATTGGTAGCTCATGGAAGTCATTGAATCACCAGAAGCAAGAAACCTATAAGAAATATTTATAATAATATTTTAAATATAAATAACATATTCTAACTTTATTTTTTATTTATTGTGTTTTCAACTTACCTTAATGTCATGCATAATCTTTCACTGGCAGATATTGGTTTTCGAGTTAATACTTGTTTTGTGATTAAAGGTGCTACTTTGTATAATAACTCTTCAAGTTGAATTGAATTCATACGAAAGTAATTTCTAAATGTACTTATTTGCTGTGAAACTGTGGGTAAAATTGCATTATAAAATCCATGTTCGCGTCTCATTTGAAACAATGGATTAATCTAAAACTCTTTTCTAGTATAAGGTCGTTTCCTTTTTTCTATTAAATCAAAAATAACTGCCGATATCGCTAATCTTTTTCTCCTTTCTCTCATATTATGATTATTATAATTTTTGCACACTCCGTTATCCAATTATATTTTTCTGATTGTGACATTGTGCGATTATATATATTTTGGAGCACCTGTATGGAATTCTTCAGCTGACGCTACTACATTAAAATCGCGTCGCTGGAAAACCCTTTTCATGTTTGATATTAGTCGCTAGCGACAAATCCAGTCACGTGACTTTTTTATCGCTCAAAACGAGCGATGAGCGACGCATGAAAAGGTACCTTATAAAATTCTTCCAGTACCTTACTGTCCCACGATTACCATGATTTTCAGGTAAATTTAAGAGAAAATTTTTTATGTGTAGTATTCGGATACGTTTTATCAAAATTTACGTTTTTAAAAATAATCAATAAATGATAATAAGATAGAGAGAGAGAGAGAGAGAGAGAGAGAGAGAGAAAGAGAGAGAGAGAGAGAGTGAGGAACGTTATTATCATAAATGATAACGTTCTCCTCACTCACTCACTCACTCTCTCTTTCTCTCTCTCCCTCTCTCATTATTATCATTTATTGATTATTTTAAAAACGTAAAATTTTGATAGGATGTATTCGAATACTACACAGAGAAAATTTTTCTTAAAATTTACTCTAAAAATGATGGTAATCGTGGGACAATGGTATTGAAAGAATTTTATAAGAATTTTTCTGATTAATATTTACTATAATAAAAATATTATAGAAAAGAAAGTGAGATGAAAAGGGAAAGAGAGAAAATAGTTGTCGCGGAGCTTTAGCGTTACGCGCCGTTCGTAGCCATCGCGTTCGCTCCTCCCTCCGCTTTGCCGCGCGCCGTGTATCGTGACAGGGGGCCGTCTCATCTCGTCGCGCGCTTAGATTGGCCGATCTTTTTTATTTAATAACACAATAATTATTGCGAAAATCGCAAAACGGTAGAGGACTTTCCTATTCGGTTTAACTTACTCTACCTGCACACGACGGTTGAGGCGACCATTACCGGACACCCTGTATATATAAATATATAAGATATATAAAAATTACTTATTATATAACTTCTTTCGTTAAATTCGTTTTTAATTGAATAATATAATTAAAAATAAAAATATCGATAAAATGAAAAGCAAAAAGATTATATATGTAAATGTCGCACGAATAACAAATAATGAGAGCTATCTGGTAATGGTATTTTTATTTTATTTTATTTACATTAATAAAACGCACGTTTTGATACACAAATGCACAATCATTTGCATATTTATAAACTTTGGTCCAAAATCTTTTTGTTAATTTGTGGCTTATCTTGATAAAAATTATTTATTATATATTTATTTATTACATAAATATTTATTATATTTAATATTAAATACGAATAATAAGACAAAATTTAGTATATGAAAGGCCAACTAATCGAGCATTAATGCAAAAGGTTTCCGGATGGATGCCGCGTGGTTTAACAGCGTAATGCCGACGTTTCGCAAACGTTGCAGTTTGCATCTTCAGAGCTGAGAGCTCCGATATTGAGCTTTTTGGGGTTGTAATCCTTATATATATATATATATTATGGAGGTTTTTCATCTACGGAAAAGTATTCCGTAATGACGCCGCCTAGTGGTGTGAGTGTATATTAAGGGCAGTGTACCAAATAAGGTTTGTTTTGATAACCTTTGTCGCGGTTGAGGTTGTCGGGATGTTTTAGAATTTCTAGGGTTTCACGATGTTTTCTGGCGAAATAG